ACACAAAATTTTGGTTTGTGGACAGTCAGATGGGCTGGTCCCTTCTTATTCTCCGGATGCTTTTTTTGATTTTCTGCTTTGCACTGTTCTCTTTTCTCATTCTCTTCTTGTTTTCCTCCCTTTTTCTCTTCGGACCTGAGACACACATTCCTGGTGTTGTCATTGAAGGCACTGGCTGTGGAGGTCCAGAGGGTGGTTGAGTCTGTTATGACGGCGGAGTGGTTGAAGGTAAGCCATCACCAGAGCGTGTTTCCCCGCAGACCTATAATTTTGAGTCCTAGTAGTCATTTAGTCTCATAATATTCAGCGGCTATACTCACTTATTAAGCGTAGGAAAGCCTTTCAGAGTTACAACTCTCAGCATGCAGATGTTCTTCTACTACAGGAGACACACTTCCCCTAATGCCCCTAACTAGACCAGGGGTTTAACTATATTTTTCTCTAAAAAAGTAGCTTTTTCTCTACTGCAAGAAATTAAAGACCCAGACGGTCAATATTTACTTTTAAGGGGCACAATAGGGGGTCAGTTATACACCTTTATCATGTACTATGCGCACAAACAGAGGCACAAACAGGGGCAACTTGCTTTTTTTTTTCTAACCTCTTTCGAGAGCTAGCCCCACATTCAGAAGGGACATTATATATGGAAGAGACTCCAATATTGCTTAGTCTCAAATGCCCTTCTAACATGAGTTTATCTATAGCCAAGTTGCCACACACCCTAGATCTAATGGATATCTAGAGGGAAACGTACCCACCTGCTAGGTATTATACCCATTACTCAGCCTCACATATGACTTATGCTAGAACTGATCACCTTTTCATTTCTAGTGCCAGTGTTCCTTTGGTCAATAAAACCTTCATAAGAGAGGTGGCTTGCCTGGTGCTCTTGTATCCAGGGGACCCCAAGGGCTGATTTTTTGGCAGATGAATAAAACGTTACTTAGTGACCCGGTACGGCGCACGGAAATTACAGCAGCTATTTCAGAATATTTTCAATTAAATGACTTAGAAGAGGTTTCCCCATCTACTATATGGGCAAAACATAAACCTACCATATGGAGGAAGCTCATTCAGATTTCCTTCCAAATTAAGAGGGAGCATCGGGTGGACCTGGAGAGATTGGATGTAGAATTACAATCTTTACGTAAAGCACACAAACGTAAGCCTTACCCAGACACACTAGCCAAAATTGACTTGACTAGGCTGGCCCTCAATTTAGCTTTTACCACTAGAGCTAAGAAGAGTTTGTGGTGGAGTAATGCTCATTTTTATTATCAACGAGACAGAATTGGCCTGATGTTAGCCTCCAAGCTGACCCCAAAGGTCTGATCCTTTACATTACCTAAACTTTGGGCTGACAAAATCTATGCAAGATTATGGAAGCATTCCATGCTTTCTATTCTCTGCTCTACAAGTCAGGCACCATGGCAGACGAAGAAGATGCTGGATGCCTTTCTGGAAGGGTTACCTATCCCAAAACTGAAGGCAGCACATCGAAATCAGCTATAGGCCCAATCTTCATCAAGGAGGTCCTGAGAGTGATTAAGCAGGCAAAGAGGGGATCCACACCTGGCCCAGATGGTTTCTTGACTTTGTATTATAAGAAGGTTGCTGCACAACTAGCCCCATAACTGGCAGATCTTTTAGTTCATTGCGAGATGCTGACCCTTTGAACGCAGCTTTCATCACAGTGATACCTAAACCCTCAAAGGACCCAGGGGAAATGGGTAATTATTGATCAGCAATGATCTGAAATTTATGATCAAAATTTTAGTGAATCGACTGTCCTCTTTCATTAGTTTATATATCCATAAGGACCAGGTTGGGTCCATCCCAGGCAGGCAAAGCCCTGACCAAATTCGGAGGCAATGGACATTGTATCTCTGTTTCGGTCTGGATGGGCAAGCGGGACTCCTCCTAAATGCAAAATGCAGTTAATATGATCTCCTGGCCATAACTCTTTAGAATATTAACCCAGTGGGGCTTCAGCCCTCATTTTATGGGAGTCTTGCATACACTCTATTCTGCTCCCCAAATTCAAGTGTGACTCAACGGCTATCTTTTCTAGGCCAATATCAATTTGGCGGGGTACGAGACAGGGCTGCCCTTTCTACCTGCTGCTTTTCATAATTGCGATAAAGACATTAGCCGTGGCCATCCGGACTGGCTCAGACATTCATGGGGTGCACTGTGGCCTACAGGAGCACAAGTGTGCCTTGTTTGCAAATGATCTCCTCCTCTCTGTGATATCCCTTTCTGTGATATCCCCATTGATTTCCATGCCCTATATTCTAAGATTACTTAAGGAGTTCGGGGTGGTCTCTGGGCTAGAAATGAATGCATCCATATCTATGGCATTAGATGTGATGGCCCCCTCTGTACTGCTTGATTGCCTTAGAGGTCATTTCCCTTTCACTTGGAGCGAAACCAATATCCAATATTTGGGAATTCAACTTACCACTAATATTAACTCACTATACGCCTATAATTATCCACCACTATTTAAGAAAATGGAGGCTGATTTGAGACAATGGTCTTTACATAATCTCTCCTGGCTAGGCAGGATCCATACTGTCAAAATTATCCTATTACCCCACCTCCTTTATTTTTTTCTCTCCCTCCCGATTCCACGCTCAATTTTGGATAAATTCCAATCTAATCTCAATATTACTAGGCCACACAGCTGACACAGATTTCTGTAGTTTACTCCCACCTTGCTAAGCCAGGTTGGGTCCAGATGGAGAGGCAGGCTGTCCCAGGTTATACCCTGAACTATTTGTTATGATGCCTTCCTGTGAGACAACCTTCCATACTGGTGCCTACCCTTTTGCATTCCTTTGCACTACGGGACAGGCTACGGGATAATCCCACTTTAGTTTCCTCTTTCAGTCCCCTAGCACAAATTTTTTAATAAGCCACTTTTCCCGTGGGGACGGGATAATAAGGGATCCCAGTGGTGGCTTGATAATGGGCTTTATAAAATCAGAATCTTTTTTACTCATTGGGGACCATTTTCACTTGCCTCCTATGGAATGTTTTCGATTTATCTCTTACTTCCTACGTTCCATCCGGCTGGAAGAACAGGTTCCCTATAGAGTCACTCCATATGAGAAATGGCATACACAGGACTCAGGTCAGCAAGGGGCATATCTCTAATTATGGTCTACTTTTGGGTACCCCTCCTAAATTTTTGTCGGTTCCACAAACACTCCAAACCTCCTTTCTTAATGTACCAGTCGACCATGCGCCCAATAAAGGTAAAGCGCTTGATTTTCTTCATCTTCTTGGAAGCCAAAATGACAATCGCTAAAGCTTGGAAAGAGCCTCTGTGTCTCTGGCACAAGCAAAGAAAAAGATTTCTTGGATCATACTACATGAAAATCTGGCAAGCATCCTACACGACAGAGTTAAGAAATTTAAAAATACCTGGGAACCTTGGGCAAAATATTAAAATATTCCATTTGAATCTTAATGTAGCCTTAGAGGTCTGCTCATTCCAACACTTATTCTGTATCTTCTACTATATTTCTTGACTTTCTACTCTTCTTGTCTACTTTTCTTTTTCCCTTTTATTTTCTTGTTGATCCTGGATATTGGGGTCATGGTCAGTATTCTGAAGACTCTCACCTGAGGGCTTAAAGCCTTACGTATGGTATCCGCTATGCCAGGCCTTGAAATTTTCACTCCCCTCCTCGCATTGGCGAGCGGAAATATTATGGTGGGGGCGAGTGTGTCCCCCAGGGCCGTCTTGCTGAGCAGGCTGGGAACTCAGGGCTGGCTCTGTCACTCGCACTGGGAGACGTCAGACTGCTTAATAGTTGAGCAAAGTGAAAGCAAAGGAAGAAGTGTGTGCTGTGCTATCTGCCTCCCCGTAGAGTGCAGTACCTGGCTCTGTGAGTGAAGGAAACGAGGTACTGAACTGCAACTCTTTATAGGGCTGTGTATGTACGTGTGTGTGTGTGTATGTAGATGTGTGTGTATGTACATGTGCGTGTGTACATGTGTGTGTACATGTGTGTGTTTATATACATGTGTGTGTATGTACATGTGTGTGTGTGTATGTACGTACATGTGTGTGTGTGTGTGTGTGTGTGTGTGTGTACATGTGTGTGTGTGTGTGTGTGTGTGTGTGTGTGTGTGTACATGTGTCTGTCTGTGTGTATGTACATGTGTCTGTGTGTGTATACGTTTGTGTGTATGTACATGTGTGTATATGTTTCTGTGTGTGTGTGTGCATGTGTCTGTATGTGTGTGTTTAAGCATACATATATGGCTGGTTTGGTCAGGTTCAGGATTATGTGGTTATTATGGGTGGTAGAGTATGGGGCATTTAAGGTACTGTTGGGTTGGATAGAAGGTAGGATATGCTTGGTAGAGTTATGGATTGGTGAGTGAGAGATTATGGTTGTATGCGGTGCATGGTCTAAGTATGATGTAGTGCTTAGGACGACATTGGAGTCCCTGATGTAATATGGGGGGACTTTTGGGACCCTGATATAATGTGGGGGGACTCTGGGGACCCTGATATAATGTGGGGGGATTCTGGGGACCCTGATATAATGTGGGGGGACTCTGGGGACCCTAATGTAATGTGGGTAACATTTAACAGTGTAATTTCATGAGATAATTTATGAGGGCATGTTTAAGGGCAGAATTAGGGGGGGCGGGCAGGGTAGGGAATGGGTGGGGCAACTGGTGGCGAGCAACTCTTAAGGGCTGGCTAGTAGCTCAGGACTTGAAATTTTAAGCCCTGCGTTATGCTATACTTATTGAATAATGTTATTTATATCCTTTGTCGATATCCTAAACTTGGGAGATTATTTTTAATGTTGCATGTGTACTGGAGGGGCGACGATGCCCCCAGGGCCGTATTTCATTCTTTTGTCTGGATGATGTCTATGTTGTATTTCATTTTGTACAAAAAGTCTCTTTATATATAAAAAATAACAACGAGGTACAAAAAACACCAAAAAAGAGTAAAAAATATCAAAACATACCATCTCTTTGTTTCTCCAAAAGTTTATTTTGTAATAAAATATCATTGATTTGCTTGCTGTGAGCATCGGCAAGATAGCGTAGATGGGTTTCATTATCAGGTGCAGGTTCTAATCTGGCATTTCCATTTATCTGTAGAAAGTGTTTTTAACAGAAAACACATTACAGGTTGTAAAGCAAAAATACAGCACAAGCCTATGTTGCTTGATAAAACTCCATTTTGTATTCATAAATATTACAACCACTGAACTCACATTTTCAAAATCTGTTTTCTCACTGGAATCCAAAAATCTGTAATCTATGAGAGGCCTTTTAAAATTATTTGTCTCCTTAGTATGTTCATCCTTGCTTCGTCTTGACTTTTTCAGTCTGTTAAGCTGAGATAGAGATATATACATTATGATTGATTTGTATTTGAAAAATGGTAATTTTTAACACTGTTTATTTATACTTTTGTAGATACAATGAGGGGAAATTACTAAAACTGGACCAGATAGAATCTTAAGTAGCTGTGAATGGCAGCAAATCAGCTTCTATATTCAGCTTGTTCAGTTAAAGTGAAATTAAAGGCTGTGATACTTACCTTTCCTTCAACAGTCCAATGTTCCTTACCGACATCTCCTACTTGACATCTTCTGGATTGCGAGCTGCAGCCATCTTCATTAGCTGGTGCAGGATGATAAATGTGGATATCCTCCTGCGCTTATTATGGATGACGCAAACCTAATTGTAGCTGCTGCCACTCAACTTAAACCAATAAGTGTGAACACAAATTATAAATATATAGTAAGGCGCTATAAATCAAATCTAACATGCGCAATATTCTCGTGCTATATAATGCTAGCCGTGCCAACACAATAGTGCTCAGTGGAAAACATTGCAAAAAAATACAATTAAATATTCAACAATATAAAGTGAAAAAAACATTAAAAAATGTGTATAATCCTAAAAATTGTGTTAGTGGTTCTTAAGAGAAAGGGAATCACATCCCGTGCTGGTTTATCAATATCTAGTATAAACACACTGTATATTAATAAACATTAAATAATCAAAAAAAGGAAAACATCTGTGTAATTTTGAAACATTAAGTCCATGCAAGTGAAACTGTGCCAACGTGATCTTCATTCCAATGAAAAAGAAAAGAGATCCTCAAATGGCAGCAATGCCTGCTCACCTCCACACATTGCCCCGCACAGGGCCAAAAGGCTATGATTATCAATACCAGATCCTCTCAATTCCACTCCTCATCACAGGGACCATGGGATTGAATATAGACTTCTCCCCAGCGCACCTTATCCACTCCACCTCCACTTAAGGCCACATACATGAGATACAAAACAAAGATCCTTCCATAGTACAGTAATCTTTTTATTTGAAAGTTGATAAACTTGATATTGCACTCACCTGTATTCCCAGTAAGAAATGCCTGTCACCACATCCTATGGGTGTACTGCATGGTTACTGGGTGTAGCAATATGGCCACTGCGTCCGGAAGTGCGTCACCTTGTACCGGAAATGGCGTACCCATATGGTTGGTACGCCATTTCCAGTAGCCTTTGGCCCTGTGCGGGTCAGTGTGTGGAGGTGAGCAGGCATTGCTGCCATTTGAGGATCTCTTTTCTTTTTCACTGGAGTGAAGATTACATTGGCACAGTTTCACTTGCATGGACTTTATGTTTCAAAATTACACAGATGTTTTCCTTTTTTTGATTATTTAATGTTTATTTATATACAGTGTGTTTATACTAGATATTGATAAACCAGCAGGGGATGTGATTCCCTTTCTCTTAAGAACCACTAACACAATTTTTAGGATTATACACATTTTTTAAATGTTTTTTACTTTATATTGCTGAATATTTAATTGTATTTTTTGCAATTTTTTCCACTGAGCACTATTGTGTTGGCACGGCTAGCATCATATAGCATGAGAATATTGCACATGTGTTAGATTTGATTTATAGCGCTTCACTATATATTTATAATTGGTGCAGGTTGATGTCACTCCTGTGCATGTGTTCGTTATTGCATGTCTCTTCTGCAAAAAAGGGCCTGCTTGTTTTTGTAGTTTTAAAATTGAGACTTTAGCTCCTCGAAAGCTAGAAATTACAGCTCCTGATTCAGAATTCTCCGGTCTTAATAAATTCCCCTCATTATGACTAACTCTTGAGTGTACTGTGCTTAATAGTCACATGTAGAAATTTTTTGAGCTTTATGTTAAATCATACAAAACCATGGTAACCAACCAGCATATCTGTCTCTTTGACAATTAAAGAAAAATCTTAGTTTTCATTTCCCATCTTTAAGTTTTCCAAACACCTACTGTATATGTAAATGCTAATAGATTTTCAGATTCCTAGTTAGCAATGAATTCTTGCTGCAAGAATAAGGCTTCTTTCACAAGGGTGATTGCCTGCAGACACTGAGATCCAGCAGCAAAAACCAACTGTAATGACAGATGTATGAGAATAGTGGCAGCCATTCAGCCCATACAAAGTAACGGCAGACTGACAGCAGCCATCGCTGTTCTCATGTAACCGCACACAACATGGTTACCTGCAGTTAGGGACTGATGTCCGAGCCGTAGTCGTAGACAAGTTCCCAGCTCTGATTCAGAATCAACCAGCAAGTAAATATTTAATGCATAACAAAAGATTCACAGAGCACTATAGCTAAGTAGAGAGAACATTGGGAGATGTCTGCTTTGGGGATCGATTGACTTGAGTCCAGTAAGGTATGAGTCCACTGACTCATTCACTTAGAAACGTAGAAAAGTGACAGCAGAAAAAGACCAAATGGTCCATCTAGTCTGGCCTTTTTCATGTTTTTTGCTTGTTTTGGTTAACTTTTTTGTCTGTGTATAGATCTATGGTTGTCCCATAGATGTTGGGCATGTTTGAAACCACTTACTGTTGACAGATTCACTACCTCTGCTGGGGTCTATTACAAGCTTCAACTACCCTTTCAGCAAAATAATACTTTTTAAGTTTAGTTTTGAACTTTCCTCCAGTTAGTTTGAGGACATGTCCCCCATGTTCTGGTTCTTGGTTTCATATTGAAAATACTACCCTCTTTGCCCCCTTTGATGTATATAAAGGTTTCAGTCATGTCTCCCCTTTCCTTTCTTTCTTCCTGATGGTACATATTAGACTGTACGCATTCATGCATGTAAACTTCAACTTGAGCTATTGAGCTCTCTAAACAAAGGACTTTATTTTACAAAAAAGAAGCACAGAATCCAAAGGAAAGCATGTTAAAAAAGAGCCTTAAGCTCCACCTGCTAACTGGATTGAAGGTCTACATGATATCTTTATGATTATCTTTATTAATGCATTGTTACATATTTACTAATATTTTTTAGACACAAAACTACTATACATTCCAAAATCACTATATGTTCCAAACTAAATTCCATGTAAGTCAGTTTTCTATCCATTTATAGGTTAACATGGTTCCTCATAGGTTGCTAACAAAAGGTCAGTATAGGTTTAGAATTCCAGATACTGGTCCTGACTGGAGAAAGGACATCCATACTGGCTACATGTTATTATAATATTGCAAATATTATATATATTATAATTATTATACTAGATTATTGCAAATACTTCTGGATTTGCTTCATTAACACCCCTTACATTTTCTTCTTTACAACAGAAGTTAAATGGACAGGTCTATAGGTACTGTTGAAGACTTTAATCTATTTTAAAATGTAGGTGCTCAACTCCCGACAGATTTAAAAAACATCAATATTTGAAATATACTAATTACTGGAAGAATAGGTGGCCAAAACAATACACTCTAACAAAAACAATATAAAAAGGTTTGCCTTTACACCAATCAGGTGACTTGTATACACATGTGCTGACAAAGAACATGCTAGCAAGGAGGAAAAATTTCCTTCTTGGTCTGTTGCTGCTTCCTGGAAAGTCCAGTCACAGGAGTGAAGGTGACCTAGTTGTGTTACTCAACTGCAGATTTATACGTTTTCACCAACCTGGAAGTGCTTTTTGCAGGGCTTTGTAAGTCCCAGGACTGGCTAGAAAAAAATAGAAGTCTAAAATCCTTTGACAGGTACAACAACTACATATATTTTTGCAGCTATGTATTTGGGTTTATTGGAGTTTAGCTTTCAAAAGTCTGTAAAATTGGAAACAATTGCTAGGATATACTGAGCTTAGTTCTGTAAGCACTTATGGCACTAAGCCATTTTAACCCAACAGAAGCCAGCAGTCCAGGTGCTCTATTCACATGTACTTTGTCTACTTGTTTCTGCACCACAAAAGCACTACGTTGTTCCACTTTGTATATAGTTAAATAGGATATTTAATATGTTTTCTAACTTGTGGTTAGTCTAGTATGTGGTGCTATTATATGATACCTTGGGTAAATAATCTTTCAAAAACAATTTTTTTTTTTTTTTTACAGTTAGCAGGTCATTTTTAAATTTTCACCACTAAAAACTCACAATTACAGTTTTTGATATTCTGAACCATATGAAGGAAAAAATACTTTTCTTGGAGTACAGTACAAGACACAGGATCCTTAGTCTTAACCACAGTTAAATGCAGCTACAGGGACATTCACTATGTAACCCATCCCACTCCCAGCAAGTCTCAGTTTTGTAGCAAGCAATAGAGAGACCATACAGGACAGAGTGGAGGGACCAGTGTCCATGTACTACGTCAAAAAATTATATTTTCTTAATCCAGTTGCTGAGAAGAGGCTGTAACCAAGGGGTAGATTCAGAGAAAAATTTCCTTGGGATATTTCAGAGTAGGGAATAAAGAGGGAAGAAAAATATCCTGGTTAAGGTGGAAGGAGGAAATGGCAAAGTGATAAAGGAGGCCTTAGAACAACTTTATCCGTGTGTAACATTAAAAAAGGCTCTAATTCAGATCCCACTGCACAATAGCAAAGAGAAAAAAACACCTTGCGAGTGGGGGTCAGCCAAGGAAATGCCCAAATTACAAATAAAAGCCTTTTTCTAAAGAGCCCAAAAGAACCAGGTTAAGATCCCTGTGTAGCACAGAGGAATGCTCAATGAATGTGGCACCCTACACAAAAGCCTTAATAAAGGAATGAATAGCCAACAGCCTCTGAAAGAGATTGGCCATGGTGGATTTGATGGTACTCCACATGCTGGTTCAGACTGGAGAAAAAAGAAGACGCATCCCACAAAGTACTATCTAGGAAAGAATTTCCTTGCCTTCCACCATGCAAACTAGAACCTCCATGTGTAATAGTAGACTTCCTAGCCTTTAGGAGGATGACCTTACGCCCGTCCCTTAAAACGTGAGCTTCAACAGTCATGGCGTTAAAGCCAGCAACTGAGAGGCAGGATGGTGGACCAGTCAGTATTACAGAGGTCTGGATTATC